AGAAAGATCTGCAGCTTCACCCCTGTCCTCATCCCCAAAAAGAGGAATTGCACTTCAAGAAGAGTCTCCCCCTTTCTTTCTGGGGGAGAGGGTTTGGGACACCCCATTGCAGCCCAGTGTCACCCCCTTTGATGGTGTCACCCAGTGAAGTCTGGACCCCTTGCACACCCCTTAATGAAGCCACTGACCTTTGCAATCCCCCAAGAGAATTCCATCCAATACTAACAATGCACATACCAAAGCCAGTTCCCAGTATTACATCCCAGTCTCTAGAGATCGCAGTGGGGCTGGGATTCTTGGCTTATTGAGCTTTGCCATCCTGCTCTTCAGTTGTCATGGCTGCTACTGAAACAGTGAGAGACTAGAGCCCATGTGTTAATATTAATTTTGTTGATTGATTGATTGATTTTTCAGCACCTTCTTCCATGTGAAACTTAACGTAAATTAGAAGTTATTTCCCAGGGAGTGATGCTGAGAGAGCATTTTTAAAAAGGTTTTACTGGCCTCCACTTCTGTCCTTGTCAGAATACTTCATGGCAGGCAGATGCAAGTGGCAAGCATAATGGGCATGGGTAGCAAAGAAGAGGAGTGGCACTGATGGCATTTTACTTCACAAATGCCAGATACACAGGACCAGGTGGCTGGCCCAAGACATTTTGCTAACCGAAGCAGACAAGAAGGCACCTGCTCCAGTTTTCTATATACAAAAACTGATTGGACAGCCAGGTAAATCTTGCTTCAATAGTGGAGATGGGACAGCTTCCTTCACCACACTAGAAGACAGCAGGCTATTTTAGTGGATAGAGGACACGCTGTGAAGCTTTGTACTCCAAGAGAGGAACAGCTATTCCTGCCTCTGGATGCATCCAGCTTAATTTTGTTCTTGTTCTTTCCAATTTTAATTTTGGACATCCATACGCATTTTGCTTATCCCAGAATATTAGCATTCAAGAAAATGGAGGACATGACCAAATAAAAGCTTTAAACACTCATATAAATCCATGCTTCTTAGCCATGCTCCAAATGGAGGACATTTTTGGAATTCCTCCTGGACAGAATGTTGAAATGTAGGACATGCCCTGGAAAAGGAAGATGCCTGGTCACCCTCCCCTAAGGGAAACCTGTCATGGAGTTTTCGTGGCAAGATTTGTTCAGAGGAGGTTTGCCAGGGAGTGATGAGACTGAGAGAATGTGACCTGTCTAAGTGGGTTTCATGGCCGAGCTGGGATTCGAATCCTGGTCTCCAGAGTTGTAGTCCAACACTCAAATGACTACATCATGCTGGAACTATAGAGAGATATTCAGCTCTGGCTATTAATGACTTTTGTCCCTATGGAGAGAAGCAGATTTAGCGCATCCGATTAGTCTTGGAGCCTCTGCTATGATGAGTCATTTCTTAACTTCTCTCTTTTCAATGAATGGCTGCCCATCTATGCTTCCCAGCCCAAGTGAAGCACTGGCTGTGGGCTCTGTGTTGCCATGTGGGCAAAATGCTCCACACCTGATATAATATCCCTGGAAGGACATTGCAGTGACTCATAGGACTCCTTGCAATACGCACAGGTAATGACATTAATCATCCTGAGAACCATAATAGTTACCGTATTTGATTTATATCTTGCAGGGCAGTTTCAGGGCAGCCCATATAAAAAGACATAAAATAATAAATATTAATACATTAATTAAAAGCCAAATAACAATATGAAATGCTTCACTTTCTGAATCCAGCACCTACATCCAGAATCCCACTATCATTAAATTATAAAGCTGAAAGAGTTTCTGCTTTCTTCAGAATAGCCAGGCACACTTAAAGCCCTTATCTAAAGATGTATCCCCCTACACAATTGTAGCAGTTTGATAGCACTTTAATTGTCATGGCTCCATCCTATGGAACTTGGGATTTGTAGTTTGGGAACCAGTACTTTGAATTCTCTCTGCTGGGGAGCTCTAGTACACTTCCCTCAACTTTAGCAGTACAGCTGCCCCTCCCAATTGAAGGAGGATCCGTTCCGGACCCCCCC